GCACAGCCCGCTCAATATCCATGCGGCTTACCCAGCAATGGGAACGGTACTACCCTACCCGCAATGTTCTGAGTACACAGCCACAGTATCACTCCCTCCCACCGAGTATATCGCCCAATACCGCAGGCAACAACCTCCCTGTCCGCAGACTTGGCCGTAATGGTCTCCCTTACCTCTTTGCACCCAAACCGCTACTGCCTCCGTGGCTGCCCGCACTGTGCAGATCGGCACTGTACTCTCCCTCTCAGCAGTCTTCGTTTCTCTGTCAGATTGCAGCTTCGTTCCCCCTTATGTTCTGCGTGAACAACTCAATGAGAGTTCAAAATAGGAGAGAGAGAAAAAACGCACGGGCCTTAACTGGCATAGCAACAAAGCGCCCCCGCAGCAACCAGTTCAGCATCGGCGACCCCCTCGAAGAATCGCTTCCGTAGCGATGGTCAGCAACTAAACGCAGTTGCACCCCGCTGCAGCAGCCGGTATGAGTAACAGCAATGAAGGTGGCACAGCAACAAGTTCAATACAACAGTGAACCGAAGTAGTGCAGCTAGTGGCAGACTGTAGCCGATCGTAGCACTCTGCACCCGACTATAGCGGCCACCGGAACCAAACGAAGTGCGTGATGGTGCTGGTCAGGACATTGCGGCTCAAACTTCGGTCGCCTGCCACTTCAGCTCAACAAAAAGGTCAGCACCCCAGCCAAGCTTCCCGCTGCTCCGCTCGTCCGCCTCCTCATATCCTTCCTTCAATGAACCTGGTCAGGGCTGGTCCAAGTGTGCATCATACCCGGCCGGGCACTTAGTGTCCGATATCACGACAACACGATGGCATACCACAGTCGAAATCTGATAACCGTCGGTGAAGGCAAAGGAAGACCATGCAGGATCGATCATCAGCACAGCGACTTATCCCCTGATTTCGATGGCGGCAGTCTCCACGACAACCAAGGGCACACGACGCTGGCCCACGCTCCACTTCTCACCAAGTGTATCAAGATGAAGAAGATTCCTCCACAAAAAATGCAGACACGCATATTCCTCTTCTTACCACCAGAGCTCCTACTTCCTCCTCCTCCCGTGTTGCCATTACACCTGCCTAGTAAGCATCTCTTCTCTTGCTCTAGCATGTGCCGACGTCCCAAAAACGATGAAGGTTACCTTGTATTTGCTGCAGATTGCCCCGATCTCGATCGGCGGTATAGGATACGAAAGACTGCGTCCTAAATAAGTACGCATCTCCCCCTGATCACCACAGCAAACTCCAATAAGACCCAACCCCATTCGGATGCCCACAACCTTTGTAGGAAGAGCAAAAATAAAAAAGGAAAATTATTGAATCTTCCTCAAAAACATGAGGACATACATCACGTATCTAGACTTCAATTTTTACTCCTGGGCGCAGCCCTCGGTGCTCATGCTGCTCATATCAGCCCATTAGGGGCGATTCTGAGTTTGCCATTCAACTCGCAATGTATTGAAACCTCGGAATGGCATCTCTAACCCTCGCAATCCATCCACAAACGAGCCAGATATTCACTTTCTCTCATTCCACCCCGCTTACTAACAACGCAGCCCATACCATATGTACCGCCTGAAACGCCCATCCTACGTGAAATCTGACTCCTCCATCAGCTTCGCCCTACCAAGAAACCCCAATTTCAAGCCTCACTTCCCCCGATTCCGTTAAGGAACGGGCGAGCTATGCCTTCTTCCTCTCATCACTTCACCTTCACCATCTCCGCCGCGCACGTTGTCTTCTTCCTCCCAAATACAACACCCCCCTCTACCGCTCACGGTCTGATAGCTATTCCGGGCTGTCAGGAACTGCTAACTAAGGCCCGCCCTGCACTTATACTCGTTATGCTTGCGCAAGGGCCATGCTAATCTTCTCTGCATTGTGCCGATTTTAACGAATGTCTTGAAGGACTGTGCCATGGGTAGTGGCTGGAGGTACCAGCGTCGAACTGGCCCGCTGCAGATAACTCTGAATAGATTTTATTTATTTATTTGACCACATCTGGATCCGAATTTGGGCCTGTATTTCAACAGTTCCTGGGTGTGCCGGCTGAGCTAGGCCAGTCCCTTTGCCTGGCCAGCCCCGGTACCAGACGCAGGGGTCGCGACAGTTCTCCAGCCCCTGTAGTGCTGGTCCCACGGCTGCTCAGCAAAGCTGTTCCACAGCTCCAGCTATCCCGAGGGAAAACCTCTGAGCCAGCCTGCTACTGGAAACCCTGGTGAGTCATCCGGCCCTATACCCGAGCCCGTTGAAAAAGTTGCACGGCACCGCTGCTGCAGCCTTCGTTGGCGTTCCCTGTGGCCATGTCTTGCTCAACTGTAGCTCGCCACTTTTCTGGTCCTAATGGGAATGCTCACACTGCGGCCCCAAATCTGCAAAATACGCAGATTTTTGGGGTAAACCAACTTTCTAATGGTTCAGCCACACCGTTGAACCTTTCTAGATGAAACTAGACCCTGGCCGCCTGCAGCAACAGCAGGTTGGTACTTTGCTGGTCACACAACACTATCCACACACTGTAAAAAAAAAAAAAAACTCTTGTGAACCAGTTCTTACCAATTCTCAAAACTAATGGCAAGGAAAAAATAAAAAAAACTGAGGTACCGCGCAGTCACATCCAATAGTGACTGCAGTTCCTTTGGCCCCACGGCTCCATAAGCTGCCGATAAGCAGGCACACACATSGTGSATCTGGGACCTTGGGAAACTCTGTATGACCGGTCCCGTATCTCRCGCACAGTCACCCGACTAACGCACTACGGCCTCCCCGAACGTCAAAGCAAAAAGGTTTAAAAGGTTTGGAAGGGGAAACCGCCTCCTGATTTATGCGCGCCAACCTTGCGCAGGGACCACGCTAGTCCTCTCAGTATCGTTCAAATTTTTTGGATGTCCCGAAGGACTCATCCCGGGGCAGTACTCCGCAGGCCCACTATAGGCGGAGAGCCATTGCACACCTCTTCTCCGCCTGACCCGACCGCGGCCTGTATGTCAGATCCCAAACAGCGAAAAGGATAAAAATAAAAATAGGAAAAAACTAAGAAATGCCAGCCTATAACGTCGGGTCTTTTAGGGGGAATAGGGGCTGTTGTCGCCCAGTCAGTCCCGTAGATCGGGCCCCCCGTCTCCCGTAACAGCAAAAGCTGAGGGGGATAGCCCTGGCGTCCCTCCACCCCTCGGCCCTCGCCTCGCTGCTCCGCTGCTCCTGCGTTGCTGCCTGCTGGCCTCGAACCCCGAACCTTCGTATTCGCAACCCCACGCCGTAACCTATAGGGCTAAGCCCAAGCCTGGGATCAGTAGGCGCTGAATCCCATATGAAGTGGTGCAGCCCGGCGCCTAGGGCTGGGACATGCCCGCAGGCTCACCCCCGCCCATAAACAAGCGCATGGCCGCTGCGCAACCACGCCACCTTGCGAACCACCCCACCTACAGACCTCGCCGCCGGTCAGATAGGGCGACCAAGGGTCAGCCTACTAACCCTTGGCCTAATCAAGGGCGCGAGGTCAAGTCGGACGCCTTCGTCAGCGGCACGATGAAAAGGGCAGAATCACACGCGCGCCTTGAACCTGCGCGCCCACTCACCCTACCTACTTAGACCACCTTGGTCCATACACAAGTAGCCGTTTGAACACACGGGCCTGGACCATCGGCCCCGCTGTCACTTGCAAAAACCAGGGCGGATACCCTTGCAAGGGTATTCATGCCGACACCGCTATCAGGAGGGATCACAGCAGGATCTAGTTTGCAGGTTCCGGTACAGACAGTGTTCACCCTGTTCCGGTACAGACAATGTTCACCCAATCACCGTTGCAGGTTGCGGTTACCACACAGCCTGCTGTCTCGCAGTCTGTACAGACGCAGGGTACACAGCCCCAGCAGCTAGCACAACAACCTGTGTCACAGGGTCCACAGCCCGGAGCGATGCAGGGACCGGGACAAACACAGTGGGTTCCAAAGACGGCCATCGCCGCTCCGAAACCATTTACAGGGGATAAGAGGGGCGAAGACCTCGACACGTGGTTGAGGGCAGTGCCGGTCTATGTCAAGTGTAAGCTTACCTTGCCGCACGAGGAAGTGTTAGTGGCTGCATCCTATCTAGAGGGTAGCGCAGCACGATGGTTGAGCGGTTTGGTGCAACTTCAGGGATACGGTCATGACTTCCGCTCTTGGGCAGCCCACCAGAAACTAGAGGACTTTCTCAAGATGGTGTAGGAAAGGTGGCATGATCCTCAAGAGGCCCAAAGGGCCACTGACGCGATCCTGACACTGCACACGCGGCAAGGGAAGCCACCAACGTTGTTGAGCGTCCGATCTGTGTCCCAGGGATGCACTATGACCCCCAGGTACTACTCACCTCCTACCTGAGATGCTTCTCCTTGCCTCTCAGGAACCAGTTGGCAGGTGAGGCCAACATCAATATGCACAACTTTCCTTCGTTTAGGAAAAAGGCCCTAGACCTTGAGGCGAAGATAGGGCATGGACAGGCACCCACTATAGACGGAAGGAGGAAGACATTGCCTTCTAACTGGAAGGCGAAGGGGCGCATTATGTTTGTCGATAACGATGGTTCTACCATCGAATTAGACGACAACTTTCAGGAAGGAGTAGGTGCAGAGGCAGGCAACGTAGAAGCTTCAGGGGGTGGAGTAGTCGCTGCTGTAACTCAGAAAGGTAAGGCGACCGATAGACGTCGTGGAGGTTCCCGGTCTAGGAGTCAAGTTGACCCCAATGCTCCTCCATGGGAGAAAGCGGGTCTCAATGAGGACGTGTGGAGAGACTGGTACACCCGGCAAGCTCATATTCGTTGTGGCCAATATGGCCATAACCAATTCAAGTGCCGTAACAAAAAGGTGATCGACAAGATCTCGCCTACGATGGGGCAGGCGGTAGGATCCTCCCATCCCGTTGGTAGCAATGTGGCCAGCACTTCAGGCACTGCTCCGGGAAACACGTCGGGCCAGTAGGAATAGTAGCTGTTCCTACTAGGGTCGAGGTGGTGGAGACACCCTCACCATCTCGAGAGATGGCCCAAGCTCTGACTCCAGCGTCGTCCCGCAAACACGTTCAGACCCATCGAGCCTCTGTTCGATGAATGTGTTTGAGTCCTTAGAGGAGCTAGAGGAGGAGTGGTCTAGATCAGACCCGCTAGCTTCTTGGACGACCCTAGTCAAAGCCCCGAAGGGTGAGATGTTCGTCAGTGAGGTTGTCATTGGCGGCCGCAAGGCCGGGACCTATTATGACACTTGCTCGACTAGGAACTTTATTAGTCGCGCGAGCGTTGAGAGGCTGCGCTTACAAGGGCAAGTGCAACGCCTGAGTCGACCTGTGGAGTCGACCTGTGCCAACAAACAGCGCATGGTAGTCGATGACTACCTCCAAGATGTTGAGTGTTGTTTCCCGTACGCGGGAGGGGAATTGAGACATCGTGTCTCGTTCCTAGTGAGCGATGAACATCCCATGGATATGCTGTTAGGTATGTACTACCTCTCTGTGGCACAGCCCCAGTTTGACTGGGACCGAAAAGTGGTCAAACACACTTTGCCAGGCGGAGGGACCGTCAGATTGCGTAAGTTCAAGGCCAGTAGTCTGATTGAGTCCTATGGGTGCATGTGTGCGGCCTCATTCTATAACTATTATAAGCAAAATCAGGAGGAGGGTATGTATCTAGTTTATGTCTCTGCTGCAGGCGAGCCGGTGAAAATGTCGCCGGAGATAGAGGGAGTAGTTGCCAAGTACCCTGATCTATTTGAAGAGTCGACATGGGTTGTAGAGAGGGAGGTCGTCCACGCGATAGAGATTATCCCAGGGTCTAACATTCCGAAGGGTAGGATCTATCGGATGTCTCCAGGCGAGCTCGATGAGCTTCGTCGACGCCTCAAGGAACTTGTAGAGAAGGGTTGGATCCGGCCGAGTGTTTCTCCTTATGGATCTCCAGTACTATTCGTACCTAAGAAGAAGGAGGGTACACTTAGGATGTGCATTGATTATAGGGGCCTCAATGACATCACTGTAAAGAACAGAGAGGCCCTACCGCGCATCGACGATTTGTTGGATAGAGTGCAAGGGTGTCGGTACTTCAGTAAGATAGATCTGAAGTCCGGGTACCATCAAATTGCAATCCGGCCCGAGGATCAGCACAAAACCGCCTTTCAGACCAGGTACGGTCTGTACGAGTTTGTGGTGATGCCTTTTGGCCTTCAGCATGCTCCTGGCACCTTTCAGCATGCTATGAATCGGATATTCCATGACTACTTGGATAAGTTTGTCATCGTGTACCTCGATGACATACTTATTTTTAGTAAGACTGTCGAGGAGCATGTTGCGCACTTGGACAAAGTCCTCAGTCTCCTGCGACAGCACAAGTTCAAGATCAACGGGGAGAAGTGCGAGTTTGGACGCACCCGTGTTTTGTACTTGGGTCATGAGATCTCCGTGGAAGGGTTGAAGCCCGATTTCGCGAAGGTGGCCAGCATTCGTGATTGGCCACGTCCTCAGTCTGTGACTGAGATGAGATCTTTCTTAGGAATGACAAGCTACTATAGAACTTCCGTTAAGAACTATAGCATAGTGGTAGCCCCTTTGACTGATCTGACCCGCCTTGACACCCCATGGGAGTGGACAGATGAGTGCGAGGCTGCTTTCAAACATCTGAAGCATGCGTTGACGCACTATGAGGTCTTGAAACTTCCTGATCCTGATAAGCCGTTTATAGTCACCACGGATGCCAGCCAATATGGCATTGGCGCCGTGCTCGCGCAGCAGGAGGGGCCAAAGTTGAGGCCTGTGGAGTACATGTCTGAGAAAATGTCGTCTCAGAAGTTGGCCAAGTCCACCTATGTGAAAGAACTCTATGCAGTTTACAAGGCTCTGACCCATTGGAGACACTATCTCCTTGGGAGGTTCTTCATCCTCAGGACTGATCATCAGACCCTGAGATGGATGAGAACTCAGTCGGTGCTCTCTGACGCTCCGAAGCGTTGGATTGAAGTCGTTGAGCAGTACGACTTTGACCCTCAGTATATGAAAGGGGAGTACAATAAGGTTGTTGATGCCTTGTCGCGTAGACCTGACTTCTTAGGTAAGCTGATTACTGAGTTCTATCTGACGGACAATGTTACTCAGTCTTTGGTGGAAGCCTATCGCGAGGACCAGTTCATGTCTGAGATCATTCGCAGACTTGAGGCGAAGGACAAGAAGACTTCTGTCGAGTTTGAGTTGGTCAATGGCTTCCTGTTCCTTGAGAAGGAAGGGAATAAACGATTGTGTGTCCCGAATAGCGAGTCTTTGTGTAGTTTGTTTTTAGGCGAGTGTAATGATGCCACCGGCCATTTTGGGTACAAGAAGACCGCAACCAATCTGCTGCAGCGGTTCTGGTGGCCCACATTGATGAGAGATGCTAAGTTGTACGTGGAGACTTGTCAGGTCTGTCAGAGAGACAAGCCACGTACTCAGGCTCCTCTTGGGCTGCTGAAGCCCCTTCCGATTCCGGAAAGGCCTGGTGAGAGCCTGTTCATGGACTTCATGGATACGCTGGTCACCAGCAAGAGTGGAATGCGCTACATCTACGTCATTGTGGACAGGTTTAGTCAGTTTGCTAGATAAGTTGCGATGCCGGCAAACACCTAAAACGGAGTATGTGATTAAGATGTTCAAAGAGAATTGGGTTAGAGACTTTGGATTACCCAAGTCCATAGTTAGTGATACGGATGTCAGATTCACAAGTGAGTTGTGGAAAGCAGCAGCTGCAGAGCAAGGTACGCAACTGCAGATGACATCGGGCAATCATCCTGAGACGAACGGGCAGGCTGAACAAATGAACCGCGCTGTATAACACCTGCTAAGGCACTACATCAAGCCAAATCAGGTAGATTGGGATGAGAAACTTGCTCTCATCGCAAGTTTGTACAATAACGCTGTGCACAGCGCAACCGGAGTCAGTCCTAACAGCCTGCTACTGACCTTCAGACCCCGACTGCCTTCAGACTTTCTACTACCTGACAATCAGCCAACCACTGCACCTGGGACTTTAGAGTCTGCTTATCGATATGAGCAGCTGATGCAGCAGGCTGTTGAATAGATGCACAAGGCACAGGCGGCGATAATAGATTCTGAAAACAAACACCGCCGCTCCTCTACGTTTCAGGTAGGAGAGAGAGTCTGGGTCAAGTCCTCAGAACTGGGACAGGAGCACAGGATCTCCCGCAAGCTCATGCCACAATACTTTGGACCGTGGGAAGTATTGGATGTCGTGGGGAATGAACCGGATGGCCCATCTTATGTTATTTACATCCCTGGTCGCTTATGCACTTACCCTGTCTTCCACTCCAACAAACTTGCACCTTTCAAGGAAACAGATCAGTTTCCATCTCGTCGTTCAATGCTGCCCCCAACCATGGATGGAGAGGTCGACATCGACGATATTGTTGATCACCGCGAGCTGCCAGTTCCACAAACAACAGGCAGGGGACGTCCTCCGAAACCGATGCTGCAGTCCCGTGTTCGGTTCCGACATCATACTGATCCGAAGGAGGACCGCTGGTTTACCAGGGAGGAACTCATGCAGACCGCTTCGCAAGTTGTAGCCCGCTACGAGAAATCTCTTTAGAAAGGAAAGCGCCCGATGGTCGAAGACTGAGCTTCTAAGAGGACTGTTGAAGCTAAGGAGAAGGGAATGCGAGGCCATTGCCTCTATAAGCCCATTCAGGCCCCTTTTTGGAGCCTGTCGGCCGCCCTAAGTGAAGGCAGGCTCGACGAGGCCTTTCAGGGCCTTATTTCGGCCTCTGCGCAACTAAGGAAATTCAGGCAGTTGTGCAGCGCAAAACCCAAGCCCTGGGCTGGATACGGGTACTGCGCCAAACACATACCAAAGGCAGTTGGGCGCATGCAACCACATCAAGCGCAGGCCTGTTCTCGATCGTGCTGGGCCTCAGGCTACCGGGGCCTACTGGAAGCTTCTTGGGATTGGACGCAGACAGGCCACTTCGATATAGCAAAGGGCCTGCCTCCTCATTCAGCATTCGGGTGCTGGCTGCATGCTGCGCAAGCTCTGCTGCGCTATTTGCTGGCTGGCGCCTACACGCTCACGGGCGAGCAGGGAAGGAGCAGGCAGCCATATCCGAGCTGCGCTGCTGCAAGCTGGGTGTGGTGCAGGGTGGTCCGTGGGTGCAAGTGGCATTTGTGTGTTGGGGAACGAGGTTGTGAGTGAGGCGAGAGAAATACCTGGTGCGGGAAGCGTGCAACATTGGTCGCTGTATGCTCGTACTTCGGGAAAGCTGTAGACGTCATCATTCGGCATTGTAGTATAGGTTAGATAGGATCTGCCACATGTAGTCTGGGCGCCGAGCGCCAGATAGGATATCAACTCTGGTTCTTCGTTGATAATGATGGGACTATTTCAGCATTGTCAATTCTGAACTCTTGGTGCGTTCTTATTTGGTGAATCTCGTGATGCAATTCTGTTGTTGGTTCGAGGTCACGACTATCTGGACTCATATGTACGATGCTGTTTGATTGCTGAAGTTCGCTATTGCTCATCTTCCTTGCACTATTCAAGGCCGCATCAAAATTCTCTCGCCGGTATACACTCCACCACCACAATTTAATCATCCCTTTTTCTCTTTTTTTTTATTTAATCACTCTCGCCAGCGTCCACTGCAGAGTATCAAATGTTTGATGATGTGTTACGATCCTGGCCAATCTCGAAGTACAACTTCATGAGAAAGGACAATGCCGTCCAATTGTAAAAAGAAAAGAATGAACTTGATAGGAGAGCGAGGGAAAGAAGAAGAAGAAAATGTACACCAGCAAAGACCAATGTTGCATACTGTAAAGGTGCAGACCAGAACAAGAACCGACCTCTCTCACAAAGTACAAGATAGCGCAGCGGAAAACTTAGATACCAATGATCCGAACAATCAATATTGCAATGCAGCCCCGAACATACATCATCATCATCATTCCATGGTGTGAAGGGGTCTGGCGCTCACACAGGAAGAATGCGCCAGCCCCAACCATACACAGACGAAGAAGAGGGGGGTTAGACGAAGAAGAGGGGAAGATGGGAATGTCGTCAACACCAAGTCTTCGGCACAGGCCCAAATAGCCCTCGTCAAAATGTCTGAATCCTAATGTCGAGTCCGGATCCAATGTCGTCAAGTCTCAAGTCACAACTCTCTCTCTATCTGTCGTAGTCTGCTGATACTGAGAAGTCAGGTGGTGAGAGGGTGAAGAAGAGATGGTGGACTTAGAGAGGAAGAAGAAGGGCTCTCCCTCTCTCTCTCAGTCCGGTACGAACCTGTGAAGCTGGCGCCTTGATGCAGGTACCTCGAAGATGGAGTTGGAGCTATGGCGCCACAGGTACGTCCCACTGGCCTCCGCCAGCCAGCTCTCCCAAACACTACTACTACCACCTACTAGCGCCCAGCGCTGAAGACTACTGCTACTGATATTAGCGCCCAGCGCTGAAGACTACTGCTAGCGCTAAGCTGCTCCTGCAGCGCTCCTCTAGAGTGCTGCGGTCGAATCCTGAAGACTACTCCTGCCTTCTGTCCCACTACCTACCCCTGAAGTGCATGGGAACTTCCTATGTACTACTCGGCCTGCCTCCTGACTGCAGGGCGAGGCAGTTCAGGAGGCTGCTCTTGCCAATGCCGAAGGAGGTCAGGGGCTGCCGCTGCAGCTCCTGCTGAGGCTGTCGTGGGAACAGGCCAAAAATAGCCTGTTTCCGAAACCCTGGTTTTGTGCCTGAGTGTTAGGGTAGGTTGACCTTATCAGGGCCCGAATGTGGCCCTCCGTTTCAGGCTGAAAAGCCTCAGGGCTGAAAAGCCCTGTTTTAGGCTAAAAACGAAATAGGGCCTGCAGGCCCTCGTTTTCAGTCTTTCAGGCTGAAACGACAGGGGGCCTGTAAGCCGTTATTTCTAGGCTTTTAGGCTGAGAATGCGGGACAGGCCCTGCAGGCCCGTGTGGCTACGCAGTATGCCACACCCCCCCCTCCTTGAAAGACCGAGCTTACCTGCGAGGGCAAAGCTGTCTGTCTGAGGGAGGGACCACAGTCCGGGTGGGAGGGGCAGGTCGTGAAGGTCCCTGAGCTAACCTTTGTCGCTCGCAGTGAGCGAAGATCAGCGGTGCGGATGCTTTCAAATCTGTTCTTGAAATCCACCGAGTGTCGTCGGGATCGCATGCTTTGAATGTAACTTTGTACTGTCGAGGCTTGCTGCCGTACTTGCAATCCATGATGACGCGGTCAACTTCCTGATGACCATCCATAGATGGAGGGTCCTGCGATCGTCGGCCCTGGAAGTCGTCGCTCTTAGCTGGTGTATATGTTGCCAGCTTCGAGGCGTGAAAGACTGGATGGACCGTCACATGCGCAGGGATGTTGATCACAAATGAAGGGCCATCGGGCTCATCGCCCGAGGCTGATGTTACGGGCCATGGTCCAAACCACTTGGGAAGCAGTTTGCATGAAACATCCTGTTCTAGTGCAAACTCTTCCGTGGAGACCCAAACCAGATCACCGGCGCGGATTGGACATGGCACGCGACGCCTGTTGGCTTGGTGCTGCATGCGGACTTGAGCCTTTTGCATATTCGCGTGGGCTTGAGCCAGCAATTCCCTGTACTTCCAGACGGAAGCGGGAGAGCAAGCGGCGTCGATGTCGGCTGGTCGTGGGAGGAGAAGGTCGGCGAAGATACGGCCTTTCTGTCCGCCGTGGTGCAACTCGAATGGATTCACGCCGATCATCGGGTGCACCGAAGTGTTGTAGGCGAAGTCGATGTCGGGGAGGCGGTCAACCCAATCTTTTTGGTCCGGACGGATGAGCGTACGAAGCATCATTTGAGCGGTTTGATGTGCCCGCTCCGTTTGCGCGTCCGTCTGTGGATGTCGAGCCGAACTTGGCTTCATTTTCGTGCCGGACTCTTGAATGAGAGCTGTCCAAAATGTCGACATGAAGCGAGTGTCTCGGTCGCTGACTATGTCTTCCGGTACACCGTGGCCGCAAATCCAACCGGTGTGCAAGAGGCGTGCCAGCTCGGGAGCCGTGGAGTAGTACTTGCAAGGGAGAAAACGCGCATACTTACTCAAACGGTCCACAACTGTGAGGATGCCGTCGTGCCTGAGGCGATCGCGGGGAAAAGGTCCGGTGACATCCATGGCAATGGAGAGGCCGGGTTCCCGTGGGATAGGCATCGGGCGCAACTCGCCGTAGGGCAACCCATTGTGGGGCTTGCTTCGTCGGCAAACTTCGCAAGAGTCGCAATACCGAGTGACATCGGTAATGAGGTCGGGCCATCAGAATCGTTGTCGAAGCCGTGCAATAGTGTGGTTGACTCCGAAATGGCCGGCGAGTCGCGAGTCATGGTACTCACCGGGAAGGCGAGTCCGAAGACGACGGTTGCGTGGAACACACAATAAGTCCTTGCCTCTCGAGTGGAGGAGCAAGTACCCGTCGACAATGCGATAGTGGCTGGCCAGCGGGTGATCCGAAGATAGCTGCGCATATAACGTGGCGAAATCCGGATCAGACTCATATGCCCGGATGAAGTGTCGCTGAAGCTCCTTGTCGAATGGGAAGGCATGATGTGTCATAGCGCAAAGATTGGGTCTTTGCGAGAGTGCATCTGGTGCGTGATTGGAGAGGCCGGGAAGGTGCTTCGGTGTGAAGTCAAATTGGTCGATGAAGTACATCCATCGTCCGATCGTGCTGCTCACCGTATTCTGCATCTTGTAGTAGGTCAATGGGTTGTTGTCCGTGACCCATGTGAACCTTCGACGCCCAAGGAGGAAGTGTCGCTGCTTGAGAGCCATCACGAACGCAAGCAGCTCCTTCTTGCTTGCATCATCAAGCGAATTGATGGGAGGAACTTTGTGGCTGAAATACTCCACAGGGTGCTAGTCGTCGCCGACGTGTTATTCCAAGACTGCCCCAATGCCCTAGCCGGAAGCGTCAGTTGTCACTCTCGTAGGCAGGGTGGGGTCATAGATGCTAAGGACGGGTGCCATGAGCATGGCCGTCTTAAGTGCTTGGAATGACCGCCGTGCATCGTCATCGAATACGAATGGCACCTTTGGCGATTGTAATTTCGTCATAGGTGCAACAATCCTTGAGTACCCGGTGATGAATCGTTGATAGTAGCCCGCCAACCCCATGAATGAACGGACGTTCGTGGTGTTGGTGGGCTCGGGCCATACGCGGAGGGCCTCGATCTTGTCTGCAAGCCGACGGATGCCTTGCGGCGTCACATAATGTCCCAAGTACTCCAGCTCTTGCCGCGCGAATTCGCATTTGTCGCGGCTGGCTTTGTACTTGGCTTGTCGTAGCCGCTCCAAAACGGTGCGAAGGTGCTCCACATGCTCGTCCAAACTCCGAGTGTACACCAAAATGTCGTCGAGGTAGATAAGTACGACTCGATCCAACATGTGTCGGAACTCCGTTGTCATAGCCACTTGGAAAGTGGTCGGGGCATTCATAAGGCCAAATGGCATAACCAACCATTCGAAATGCCCATATCGCGTCTTAAACGCGGTCTTGTAGAGGTCCTCCTGCCGAATCTCGAGTTGGTGATATCCCGACTTGAGGTCAAGCTTGGAGAAAAACTTGGCGCCGCCCAGCCGTTCGAGAAGGTCGTCGATGCATGGAAGAGGGTCGGCGTTTCTGATCGTTTGCGCGTTGAGCTTGCGATAATCGATGCACAACCGCAAATCCTTGTTCTTCTTCTGGACGAAGAGAACGGGAGCATCGTATGGCGAGGAGCTAGGCCGAATCCAACCTTTCTCAAGAAGGTCTTCGAGTTGTGCCCGTAGCACACTTAACTCTTCCTCGCTCATTCGATAGATGCAACCACGTGGAGGTACAACCCCGTCCTCGAGGATGATCTCGTGGCGGATGGGCCGATCCGGCACTACTCCGTGCAGGCCTTCAAACACGTCGCCGTAGGCGTCGAGAAGCTCGGTGATGCGTGGGTCCAAGTCCGTCGATGAAGCGTCATGGGGCGGGAGGGCGTGGAGAAAGCACACCCCCATCTCCTCGATGTCGTCTCTGATGATGGAAGCTCGCATGCTTGCGGCGGACACCACGTGGCAGCTGATCGAAGGGTGAGGAGGAGCTACCGTGCATGGAACTAGTACTCCGTTCCGATCACGGACGTGAACGGTGCGGCGGTAGAAGTTCACCGGGTGATCCTCGCGTCGCAGCCATGACATGCCCAAGATCATGTCGAATTTGGTGTCCAAAATATCGAAGGACACCGCCTCGCTTGCATGCGGGGCAAAGTACACGCGGACGTCATCAATGCACCGGTCGATTGACTTGTGCGTGTGACCGTCTACCAACGCGACTTGCGTAGGCTGGGACTTCGTCCTGACGCGTGGGCCAAGGCCGACGCGTACCATAAGGTCCTGGCTCATGTAGTTGCGAGATGCTCCGCAATCGATCAAAGCGTTGCAGGTCGCCTCTCCGATCTGAATGCGTACATATAACAATGGTGCGTCGATGTCGTCGTATCGTTGCGTCTTGAACTCAAGGTCGATCTTCGCAATATAGTCGTGAAGGTCGACAACCTCTACTCCGGCGTCCATCAACGGAGTTGGTACTGAAGTGTGCAAGTAATCCCGCAATTGTGCCATGAGGACGTTGCAATGCGGTTTCGGCAATCGACCGGACCGGGGAAGGGGCATCCATTGGAAGTCCGCAATCGTCAACGGGTCGAGCTCTTCAAGTCTTGACCATGTTGTCGAATCCCCGGCTATAGTTGGCGACGAAGCTGCCGACTCGGTTGCCGATGGTAGTGAAACCGTGCATGCGGTGGATTGTTGCACGTGGAGTGGTTGGTGCAACGGTGGGACCAAGTGGACAGCATAGTCCTCGTAAGCATATCGAGAACTTACGACATTCGCATCCTCCCAAGATGTGTAAGAGGCCGCTAGCAAGGCGGCCGAATCTGGCAGAGTGGGAGGTGGAGTCGCCTCACCTCCCGCGCAACTCAGTTTCCCGAGTTGATGTGAGGCCGAACATCCTCCTTGCCTTGATCCGGGCATTGGGAGGTCTTGTGCTTGGTGCTGTTGCACCAATAGCCGCAGCCGTAGCGGCCGCGCCACTTGTATTCCGCCTCGGTCAAGTGAAACTTGACCCATGGTGTTGGCTGTCCGTTTCCGGCCGGCAATGCAGTTTTCGCCTTCCCGTTCCCTCGGGACTTGTTGTTGCTTCGCGGCTGGACAACAGCCACCTGATCTCCCTCACGTAATGCTTGGGTGGCTGTCGGGTCTTCCACAATGTTGTCCAGTTGGACTGCAGCGACATGCTGCGGACGCGGACCAAATTTACCTTTCTCCACATAGGTTGGCTGCCATGCTGACTTCTCGTGCGCAGCCGCCCTATTGGTCTTGATGATCTCCCTTGCCTTGTCGATGATTTCGGTGAAGGTCACGTATTGCTTGCAATCACCAAGTGCGAGGCTCAAGGCGGCACATGACCGGTTGTAGAACTCCCGGCGCAGATGTGAAAATGGCAATTGTAGATCGGGCGTGGCCACGATCTTTTGCCATTCCGTGAGCCAGTTGCGTGTTGCTGTGTTGCCTTGAGACATGGCAAACAGGCGGTTCATGGCGAGCGCCGCGGCGTCGTCTACGATGAACCGCTTCTTCGATAGCCGTGTTAACTCTTCCCAAGAGATCTTATCTTAGAGATCTGCAACGTCGACGCCGTGGACGGTTGCCAGGTGGCTCAACCAGATCTGGCATCCGCCCTTTGAGTTGAGAAATAGCGCGCCGATGTATGAGTGCTTGGTGACGAACAGAATCCGAAGTTGCGTCGTAAAGCCCTCCCACCAGAGGACCGGGTCTTGATGCGTATAATCATCGAATTTCTCGATTTGGAATGTCGGCATCTTGTAGTGCTGCAGGCTGTTGCCATCCTTGTTAGGCAGCTGCAGTTGCTGAACCTCGGTCTTTAAGGCGGACCAGCTGCTTGCTGAGTGCATGCAAAGGGGTGGGTGGGAGGGAAAACGCAGGTAGGGAACCAACCCAACAATACTTTCCTCCCGGCCCTAACGCCTTGTTTGTCTCTCACATCAGCAGGTGAATTTGGTCGTCATCATCATTATCGTCAGGATGATGTTTATCACCATCTGCAAATCCAAAAAAAAAAAAAACCTCTCATCTACCTCTCTTTCCATCATAATTTTTAGAAATTTCTAGTTCTACCTTATATTTTAGGGATTCGATCTGATGGAAGTGCTTCAGTTGGGATAGGGCTTCTGTGGTCACGGTTGGGATCCTTGGGGGAAGGGTGGGGGTGGTATTGGGGAGTCTTACTCTACAGGGGCGCTGCAAGGTGGGAGGTGGCTGCCCTGTCGGGGTTGGGGCAGATTTGTGGTTTGTCCTTGTCTGAGGACGGGGTGGGAGAGTTGGTCGCCTTCAACCCCGGCGGGGGCAGATAGGGACAAGGGGAGGGCGAAGGTATCCTCTAGGAGGGAATTGGCTGCCTTTGCGGAAGGGGGGGAGGAGGGGGTCTGTTCCAGGTTGGGGCCGAGGAGGTTTTCCTCGGCGGTGGCAGCATGGGACAGTGGGCAGGGGAAAGTTTCTCTGTGAGGTGACTTTCGGAAGGTTCTTGGATCGGATTTCTTCTGTTATGCCTGGTAGTTTGAAGAATTTCTCAGGTCTCTGAGGGTTTGCCGATGGGTTGTCCAATGCCAGAACGACGCTGGCCGGAGCCGGGGTGATGCCCTGTACCTTGCCGAATGGTGAGGGCATCCTAAAGGACAGCTGGGGGTTGCTGACACAGGACGACACTGGCCGGAGCTGGAGTGAGTCGCGCTGCTCTGTAACCTAGCAGTTAGGGGGCGTGAGGCCTGGTTGAGTTTGTCAGAGAATAAATCAGTTACGGTGAGCTTTGTTAGGACCTGTTGGAAATCCCTTAGATACTTGAGTTTTTTGGAAAACTGCTGTGGGCTTCAGGAGGTGCTTAGAATCGTTGATATAGCATAGTCTCGTTTATATACTAATCACCATCATCATCATCATCATCACTATCATCATCATCGGAATTACTATCCTACACTTTTCTAAGAATCACTAGAAGTCCATCATCATTAGCATCACCATCATCATCACATGAGGGACGCTGAGCCTGGTTCTCAGCATGTTCGGTTCGGTTACTCCGGGTAGACTGTGAGGACCCCGGCCTCAATCTTCTTTTTGAAAAAAAAAAAAAAA